AAACCACTAAATATATAAATAAACAGATGACCTAACAAACTCATTCAGGTGCAGTGCTTTGCATCAAGAACAGCACTACACTGTATGTTGAAGTTCAGCAACCATCAGTGCTGTCCAGATATGGACATATTTGTCCAGATAGGAATTATACTAAATAACTTGGCCTTACCAACTCCAAAAAGGCATTTGTAGCAAAAATTGTAATTGCTCAAATATTCACAACATTCTAGATGCTAAATAATGTTATACAGACTTGCCTTCTGATTTTATATAGCCAATGCACCACTCTTTTGTACACATATATAGCAATATAAAAGCAATACAGACAAAAAAGCCAAAAGACCTTTACTACTCTGAACAACACTTCGAAAAATACCAATTATCTACAGAAGTAAGAAGTGTAGTTAAAACTGAAAGAGTCTGGATGTTTCAGCAGTTTCTTAAAAGAATAAAATAACGAGAGGTCACTCCATCATTTGTACTCATTTTTATTGTATCAATATGTGACATACTAGTCCAGTTAACTCCTTAAATAATTGTTTTCTTATACTTGTGACAATACAGCACAATACTATATGATAGCTTTAAATAAAGCATCTACTAAAATGTTAAATATTCTCACAAGAATGTCTAAAATGACCAACCTACATATAAATTATCTTTCATGAAACAAGAGAAGAAAACATTTTAACATATTTAGGAGTCCAGCTCCAGTTAAATTAATAGCGCCTATACATACTTACATTATCATGTATGTATGACACTTAAGCAACTAATGAAGCCTGGTTTGTTACAGACATGAATCCTATATGTCCCATTCTGGGACAACAGTTCCAGGTCTTTCCCATGACTCTATGCATCCTAGGCTTTCATGGTAAGTGCCCCACACTTGCCATGGCACTTACCTGCTTTTGTTTTGCCATCAGAAGGGGGAAAAGCAGCAAACCTTATGGCCAGCTTGAACTGTATGCTGATTTACCAGTCAGTAGCTACCAAAAACAATAGGTAGCAGTTGAGTTCAGTCTATTTTGCCCTGTTCTCTCTCTACTACCTACCCACTGGATTTTAGCAGATCTTGAACTAACTTAATTTTGATAACTTTAGCAATGAAAGATTATCAAATTGGCTTGAGATTGATCAACAGCTTTGAAAGAGAAGAGAGAGTATGATTGGCTAAGACTAACCCAAACATAACATTGTGATTTCTGAAACTGGATACATTAGAATTAAAAGAGAAACTGAGACACAAAGATTATAATACCAGATAAAGCCAGATAATCCTGCAGTGATTTCATTTCATAGTTTATGCATTTTGCAGCCCATGAACACCAAACCATTATATTAATCAGCCTATTTTCTTTTACTTTGGCAGGACTGCTGAATGTGCACAGAAATGAATGAGTGTTTCACCTCCAAAACTGTTCCACTGACTTCAGAGATAATTCCTTAACATTTATAGTTCATGTTGAACAATTAATTACATATAATTATACTATTGCATACAAATGCTCAAAATACCTCAAATAACCCTGAGTTTAAACTAGGTTATGAACTGGCTTCAGGCACCAATCCAGTAATGAGTTAAAATGAAAAACTCTATATGCAATATTTAAGAATTTGGGGCATAAAGGATAATAGATATTGTAAATGTATCCAGTCTGTAAGAGGACATTAACCGTTTGTGGTGAAAGCACAGGTGTAGTAACCAATCTCCAAGACATCACCACATCTTTTACAATTTTGCTTTTAATTTCCCCCCCTTCACAACAGTACTTATTGATCTATCAGCCCCAATCAATGGCTGTGGGCCATTCCAACTTATATGTGTTCTGATTACAAGTCCAAATGAAGAAGGTAACTCATTCAATCATACCAAAACCTTCCTCTGAGAGGTAATTTCCAATTTCCAAAGGGACTATGTAAATTAGCTCACGCTTGATACATCTCATCTTATTTCACTTAAGTGAAATACATAATTACTCACACTGGTGCTGCAGAAGTTAACACTACATTGACAAAGGGAGCTGGATCGTTCAGGGGCTCATACATGTACTGCACAAAGACAACTTTGCACTCT